GACTAGCTATTTTTTTGGAGGTGACTAAGCAAGCTGCCTTACTGATCCCCTTCAACATATGGGGAACAGAATAGCTTTACAACTGTTGGGACACGTGTGGCATTGCTAAGGCTGACTCATTAAGTCAGTTCCTAAGGCATCCAAGGAAAAATTTGCTTACCATACTTCAGCATATTAGTCTGCATCTCATACAGCTCCTAGTTCTTGGTGATAGCGGTCTTACAGACAGTACTTGGGTTTGCCTCAGCAGTTAAAATAAAAATGACAAGCTACTTAAATGCAGGTCACAAATTTATTCATAAACATGGAAATGCATTCTTTCATGTAACTCAGTTGTAGACTACAGGTCACTGTGCCCCTAAAGCTTCTCAAAACTTAAGTTTTTTGTACTATTGACATAATTCTGCGATGTCACATTAAGACTAAGCACTGCTTTCAGACACTGGAGCATAGTGAGAATATTGCTTTTGTTTGTCATTCCAAGTACTTGCTACTGGGTGCATCAGTTGTGAAAGAAGTTTTGCTGTTAAAAGCAAGTCGTTAGTATTAGATCTTAGTTAAGTTTATATAAGTTTATAAAGTATAGTATGTGAAGCATTTTAGACTTTATGGTCTTCAAAACTAACTTCTGTGTGATTAGAAAGCTTTACAGAGTGCTATGACTAGAAAGCAAAAGAAGAAGACAAATGCAGCTGCAGGATAAGTTTTGAGTTAGTTCCATGGTGGGGCAGGAGAAGAGAGATGTAGGTGCTTCATAATGTTCAGAATATTTATTTTAATTTTTTTTTTTCCCTTAGATCTGGTGTGGTGGGCTTACAGTGAGTACTGGACTGCAGGTGCCAAGTGCTGTGAAAATGCTCCAGAAAAGTGAAAATGGTTTGAGTGGCTCAACAAGCAGCCTCAACAATATTGCCTAGTAATATCTATCAAACACTTCTATTGCTGAGGGGTTTTTTTTCTGTAGCTGCTACTCACAGAAGCTTGTGAGCATTGGATTAAACTGGGTTTGCTACTTACTGCTGTATAAGCAAGAGTACTGACAGTGCAAAGGTTTGGGGCTAAAGTGTTAGGAACCTACTGTGAATCCAGACAGAAATGTCAGACAGAAAACTAAACTATTGCCTATTTGAAAAATAAGCAGAAAAATCAAGAGCTGTAACTATGTACTTTTCTATCACTGTATTAAAGCATTTTGTTATGGACTTGAATACTAGCTCTGTTATGAATATTATTTTTCTATGAAGAATATAACAGATACCATTTTCTTAGTTCTCCTAACATGACTTACTTCACTATATATTTTATTACTACTGGGCTTCCCATTAGAACTTGTGATATCAAACATGCTTTTCAAAAGAATGTTGATTTGCTAGCCTGGCTTGGCAAAATATCACAGCAGTTCAATTTCAAAAGAATACTATAAGAATACTGTAAGAAGTTGTAGGCTTGATATGAAGAAACGGTAAGAGCGGTCTGTGACTTTTAATTTTTTTTTTTTCTGATACAAAATCCTCCTGTTTCCCATGACTAACATATTTAAATACCATACACTTAGAGTTTGGCCCTATTGCAAATTACAGAAAACGTTAAAATTTAAAGGTATTTAAAAACATTCTTAGGTCCTCAGTGAAGATGCATTTTGATAGCCAGCCATTGAGCTAGGAAGTACTTCAGGTAAGAGGTTCAGAACCAAAAATCCAGAGCTTCTTAAAAACTACAGCATGGTGCTGTGCTCTCAGCAGCTCTTACTTTTGAGTCATCTCTTTGCTTTTGAGCAGAAGTGGCACTAAATTCTTGGTGACAAGGCAGTACCCTCTGAGCCCAGGCATACATTTTTGCTACCTGTTTTGACTGCCTAACGAGGATTTCTGGAACTTTCTGGATGACCAGAGAAGTCTAAAAATGGCATGATTTCTTTATCCAGCAGAAATGGAGCTTACATGTATAGCTTCCCACTCTCGCTATCTTGTACCACACACCATGTATATGTGGCTATGAGACTGGCTTTCAGAGGGTTGTGTTCTAGAGGATCTCTTTATATCTTCCAGCTTAACACCTTCCCCTTTTTTAAGGGCAAGGAAAAACTGGAAAGTGAGCAAATGCTTTGCCAGCTAACATACGATCTGCTTCTGGATCTGTGGTTATATTTTCTTTCATGAATCAAGTGAAATGTTGAGCCTGGATGTTCTATCATCTCAACTCCTAGTTGGAAGCTCAGTAATGACAGTCAAATGATTCATAATAGTGGGAGAGCTAAAAAAAATTAAAAAAAAAAAAAAAATCGTGTTATGTTCTTCATAGAAAATCTCAACTTTTCAATGTAAGTTACTTATGTATTATAGGCTATTTAAATGGGCTTTCTTCTTCTTTCTCTCTTCTTCTCAAGTCCAGGAGCCTAGAAAAAAATTTTCAGATACACACTTGAATCAACTATTTCTTAACTGAAGGCTTTTTCCTAGTATCTGCTGAAAACAGTTTCAAATTCATGCTCATAGGGTCCATAATGAATTGGCTCCTTTCCTACAGGGCCCAAGTACTTTTTCTTCTGTATATCTTTTAGTCTGTAAAAACATGACCATCTAATCATGTTAAATCTTGTTAGTATCAATGAGTCCATTTTGTCCATCAAGATTTCTCAAGAGGAGGGAATTCCTTGAAACAACTCATAATAAACTGGTGATGATCAGTGGAAAACTTAAATTTTCTTCTTAATTTTAATACCTGCTTTAGAAAGTTTTGTTTCTCTTGAGAAATCATGAAGTTGACAGGATGGTTGAGCCCTATAATGTTCATTTCATGTCTGGAACTTGAGCGTCTCTGAATTATCCAAATAGTCTGTGTAGTAATCTTAAATATTTTTTTTTTCCTCATTTCTTCCCTTTTTACTGCGATGAACACCTGAGTGGCAGTTCTAGGGGCTCAGCTGCTGTGAATTCAGTGGTATGTGACGAAGTGACACTTGTGTGCTTGGGCTCTGGTGGTGTTTAGAGAGAGAAGGGTTAAGATGGGTGCTTCTTGTTTTGAGACTGTTGAAGGACAGTGGTAAACAGACATTGAAATGGACAAGTACTTGGGGTGTTCAGCTACAGTTCCTATTTAAATTTCCCTTTTTGGAAAAAAGAGAATGTTTACAGTAAGTTAATGTGTAGTGAGAAAGAACCATGAGTAATCTCCAGCCCTACATAAAAGCATTTAAATTATGAAGTTTTTTAGCAAGCCGTAGTGCAACCTGCAAGGTAAATTTGATATGCACAATGTAAAAATGTAATTTTTCTTTAACACTTAGTTAGAAGGAAGCTTGAACTATTTCTTACTGTGACTTGTGACTTGCAAGTTTTATTATAACTGATGTCCTAGATGAACTTAACATGTGACTTTTTACCCTTAAAGGATGAATTTGTTATATAATAGTTTGCACAGATGTCAAAATTTTGCTGCTAACAGCTAGTCCAATTGTTTTTAGCAAATGGGGATATGAAGAATTGCCTTAAGCACTTTAGATATATTTTTTTTTTTAGACTCTTCTTTTTTTTTTTTTTTGTTCTGAGCTAGTGTCTGTCCAGTACCGATATATTGGTGATAATTCTCAGTTGGTGCACTGCTTGTACCTGCAGCTAGGGGAGGGATGTCTGCAGCCTGTGAAGTTACTTTTTCCTAGGGGAATCTGCTTCAGGGATTGGAGGGGTTGTTCATTGGCATTGGGTCTGTAGCTTCACCCTGTAATTAACTCTAAGTACAACAATAATATGCCTGGTGACTTCAGTACTCCCTGAGCCTCTCTGCCCTGGAGCTGATAATGTTTGGAGTTGTCTTCTGTATGACCAAAATGAGGTGGTTTGGGGTTTGTTTCTTTTTTTTTTGGATATTTTTTTCTTTTAATACTGATTACCGGTAGTCTTTCAGAGTTAAAATAACTTCAGAATAATGTGTGAGGAACTGAATACATCAGAAAACTGTTAACTTCCAGTGTTTCTGCAGAAAGCTGTATGAACTGCAGGGAGGGATGTTAATTTCAGAAAGGGTGCTTCTCCAGGCATCCCAGGAGACAGGCGCTTCTCCAAATACCAAATACGGGTGGCAGAGGGTGACAGGTTTATTTCTGTAGCCATCCTCTAAGTAGAAAAAGCAGAGGCTAACGTACAAATCCTGTTTCCTCCCCGCCTTGCTGCCCTTGGGAACGAACTGGTTCCCTCAGGATGAACGTCCGAGGGGTCCGTGTTTTAGTCTGATGAGAATCACAGGTTATGAAGGTGAGGCGGAGGCTGATCGATAGACAGCGGCAGCGACTGTTGATCCGTTCCCCCCACCTTCCTCGCCCCCCGCCTCCCGTGGACTGGAACGGCCTGAGGGGAGTCCGCCGGCATGTGGTTTCCCCGCCGCCCCTCAGGTGTCTGTCAGCGCCGCGGGGTGTTTCCATGTCTCTGACCGGTGTGTGCGATGCGAGCTTTTTGTATTAAAACAGACGTTTAAAGCTGACGTGCCCGAGTGTTCCTCCTTCGGTCTCTGCGGGGAGGGCCGGGGGTGGGCCCACCGTTGCAGGCGGGCCTGAGGCCGGGCCCTGTCCCCGCCGCGCATGCGCGCAGGGCGGCGGGCGGCGCTTTGCGGCGGGTGAGGGCGGCCGGGCCGGCGGA